AGGGTTAGTGGTGGCCACAAATAGAGCATCAGAAAGAGAAGCAGGAATCCCGCAGAGCGGGGCTTGAACATGTCCCAGCAGAGCCCATGGGAATCGTGTATGCTGGTGAGGGAGAGGGGAGAACACGGGCCACGGCAGCACAGTTTGTCTCCGCCTTTCTGCGCATGTGCCCAGGAAAAGGGCAGGAGCCACAGGATAGCCCTGGGGGAGGCTTGCTGGACTCCTTGCCCTTCTGGGACTGTGGAAAGTCCAGAGCAGGGATGCAGTCTATAGTGCTCCCGGCTGGCCTGGGCAGAAGAGAGTGAGGATGTCTGGCCTTCCCCTCCTTGAGGCACCTGAGCCATCCCACAGACACAGCCCCTGCCCACTCCTGAACATCTCCGAGCGAGGTCATCTCAGAAGTGCCTTCTGGCAGTTTGCATTAGTATCTCATTTAAATGCCCCTGTTGTGGATCTAGCCTTCCTGGGCATTGTCAAGGTGGAAAGACAATGGGCTTCCTTTCTCAAGTTTCTTGTGCTGAGGAACAGATGGGCTTTACTTAGAAGCTAGAAGACACACTGGCCTTATGGGGGATTCAACAATACATGAACATCTAGAGCAGCCCAGCCTGAGATAGGTCCTCCTGCAAACAAGCGAAAGGGACTTAGGACAGGGTGGAGGGGAGGAGAGGGGCTTCAGATGACCTCTGCCCTGGGGGCACCTGTTGGTCAGGCAGGCTGATGTCCTGAGAGCCTTCTCCAGGTAGAGCCTGGTCCTGAGGTTGGGGGTAGGGTGCGGGTCTAGTGGAAGCAGGAGATCCCTTGCTTCAGGGGGCTCCCAGACCAGCTGGGGAGATTCAGGCCCTGCTTTCTGGGAGAAGGCACATAGGTGTGTTTGCGCGCACACACACGATGCACAGAAGCCAAGGAGCAGAGCGGCCAGTGCAGAGTAAGTAGGGCATTTCACAGACTGCTGACATGGTCTACACCACACCACTTGGCATGTCCCCAAACTGGGTGGGGTCGCCTCCAGGAGAAGCTGGGTTTTGTGTAAGGGCTTGAACACAGGGAAAGGGTTTGGCTGAGAAGAAGAGACTGTGTCAGGTGGGTGTGGCCGATGGGAAAGCTTGGATGCGGAACGGGGTGAGTCACCCTGTGAGGCTTGCCTGTCCCCACTGGAGAAAGAACTCCACGTATCCTAACAAAGAAGCTGCCTCCATTTGCAAAGCTTGGGTTGACCCCGTGATGCAAGAGATAATCAGGTGACCGTCTAAGGCACCAAGGGCTAACAGCACCCGGGGACGCTGCTCAGGGGAAAGGCAGGGTTTCCCAGTCGCCTTTCCATCCTGGAACACCGACCCAAAGTGAGACGAGCTGCCCAGACAGAGTGGTGGGCCAGCTGGTGCAGGAGAGGGCGCAGTGTACTCTGCCACACCCACTCTTGACCTTGGGGTTCTATGGGAGGTCAGCTACCTCCTGGGGACAATGTACAAGTTGGGCCAACAGGCAGTTTCACTGAGAAGCAGCTATGTTTTGCTCAAGGCATGTGTGCTTTTCCAGAGAGAACAACGTGAATGCGGATGCTCAGTTGGGGGGGGTTCTGTGGCGCAAGCTAGGTGCTGGGATCACTTCCCCTCACCATCCCTGAGCAGGGGCCCTTCTCAAGGAGGTGGCCTTGGGTGTTCTCAAGTTGCAGTCAGATCCACTCTCTTCCCAGTTTTTCCAGCCCACCACTCTTTGGGTGGGAGGAGGCCCTGGTTGAGTAGAGTCCTTGGACCCCAGTCCCATGCTACAATCAGGGGAACATTGAGCCTCTAGGCACTAGGCACCAAAGCCCCTTCACCATGATGATTGGGCAGGAGAGAACAGGAGAGACACGATTCTAGCTTCAGGGAGCACCTGAAGAGGGCAGAGACTGGCATGAGCATGAGGGGAGATCAGACCACCCCTTACCCTGGCCCTGTACTGAGAAGGCAGCCGGCTCGGGCAGATGGGCCCGGGTGGAATGAATCAGGAAAGACGTGCCTTCTAGAGGATTCAGGGGACCAGGCAGAGAAGTGGAAGCTGTCAGAGCTAACACCATCACTCTCATTGAGAAGCCCCATGTTCTTGCTGTTGACCTTGATTTTTAGAGAGTAGTACTAACTAGCTAGACACCCCAGGGTCAGGGGTTGGGGGTGGGATCACTTCCGTGTAGGAACAGCACTTTTACAAACAGAACTCACCTCCCACCTGCACCTATTTTGTTATCCGGCACAACGCAAGGTGGGACAGTCTGGTGCATAATGTCCCTGGACTCCTCCCCTAGCTCACAAGGTTGGCCCCAAGTGCAGCTGCCCTCTGCCAGGGAAGCAGTGCTACCTGGTGGGGTGGCAGCCTCATTTTCACAAGGAAGCAGAGCAAAGCAGCTTAAGATGGGAGTCAGGTGATCTGACCCCCAACTGCAAATGGATCTCAGGGAATGCCTTCAGGAGCTGCCTGGGGGTGCCTGAAGGCCTTGGGCCAGCTAGAAGTGAATGTCCAGCCCACACCTGTCACCCCCAGAGCCACAACTGGGCCATGAGGATTGGCTCTGGGGATGACAGGGCATTCCAGAGGTCCTCTTGTTTACCCCCTGCCTCCATGGTAGATAACTGCCACTTGTCACTCAGAAAAGAGTATGTAAGAGGAAGGGGGGCAGGTGCATGGTGTGAAGGGAGAAGGTGCTCCATCTGATGACCAGAGAGTGAACGATGTCACTGCTGTCAGATATCCACTGAGAAGGGGTAGAGGCCCCACGAGAGCCTGTCGTCCACAGAGCCTCCTGGGGGTGCCTGAGCAGGAGCCCTCCCCGGGGCTCCATGGAACCCCTTGTCTGTCACCATCCCAGATTTTCCATCCAAAAGCAGCTGGCTGACCCATGTCTGCCCTTGGGTGAGAAATCTCTGCTCGTGGGGCAACAGCCAAGTGAACTCAGGCCTGCCAAGCACCGGAAGGGATGACACAAGAGAGCTGGGTGGAGGGGAGGTGGACAGGCCTGGCTCTCAGATGCCGAAGGTTCTAAGGGCAGCCGCTCCCTGGCTAAAGCTGGTTCTGGGCGTCTGAGCCCCCAAGACCGCCTGCAGACTCCGCCTGACAAACACGGCCTCCCAGAATGGCAGCTTCTGGAAACAGGAGGGAAGTCGGAGTAAGTCGGGGGCTGGGTGGGTCCCTGCAGGAGTCAGGCCTGGGCCAGGCACCTCTGGGAGGACCCCGAGGCAGGCCACCGAGGAAGCAGCGGTCAAGCCCCTGCTGTCCACCCTCCCTTCTCACAAGCTGAGCCCTGTCTCCAGAGAAGAGCAGTCGGCTTCTCTCAACGCCATCCCACGGGTGCCACCGTGACCTCACACCCACGGAATACTGGAGCTGTGGGGGGCCTTTGGGGGTAGGTAGGCCAACCCCTTCGTTTTACAGAAAAGGAAACTGGGGCCCAGGGAGAGCAAGGGAGTTGTCCAGATCGCCACACCTCCAGGCTCCCAGAGCAGGTTGTTTCTGCCACAGCTGACAGGCCTGAGGGCTGGGGGGTCCTCTGTAAAGGGGGTGGGGGTGGAAAATCGGGGCAGTACTCCCTCCTGTGAGCTGCGGGGTGGTCATCTGGCTTTGGACAGAGGAGGTGGCACCGGGCGGGGAGCTGCCCCGCTGCTGTGCCTTCTGCTCACAGCTCAGGCACACCAGCCCCTCCCCAAAGGCTGGAGGTGAGTGCGGGCACCAAGGGGAGGAGCTGCTCTAGGCAGGTGAGGTCACTGTCAGGACACGCCCCCCCACCCCACCGCCCCCAGGGAGACAGGGTTCAGTGCTGGTACCGGTCCATCACAGAGGAAAGGAGTGCTCATCCGCTCCAGGAGGCCCTCGCTGGGCCCACTTCCCTTCCATCCCAGAGTTATCAGTTCGTGAGAGTGCGGGGCAGGCCCTGCTCTGGCTGCCCAGGCCGTAGGGCCCTGGCTTGCTCCTCAGGCAGCTGCAGTGTAGGCACGGGACCCGGGAGGCTGTGACTTGGGGTACAGCAAGACAGTGTGTGTTCAGAGGCTGAGATTGCCCAGGGCAGGGCTGGCCAGAAAAGGCTTCCCAGAGCGCGTGAGGTCTTGAGCTGAGCTTTGAAAGATGGGTGAGACTCCATGGCTATGGCCGAGAAAGAAGGCCTACTCCGCAAGCGGGCACGGTCTCAAGGACAGCAGGATAGTGGACAGGCTGGCTTTTGTAGAATCGGGGCCATTCTCTAGGGCTCCCCTGACATCTGCTGAAGGGGAGATGAGGGGACAGCCCCACAGGAGCCCAAAATCCAGTTCTGCTTTCTGTGATAAAGCCATGTTGCCGCTAGTAACCCTAATGACACTCTGTCCGCCTATGGAGCCTGTCATTTGTGGGTCCCCAAGCACTTGGAAAACATTAATTAATCCTCACCAGGGCCTTTGAGGTTGATGGCCACTCCCCCTTCACCAGCTGGGGCATCCAGGAGAGGAAGGGGCGGAAGCTCACCTGTCACTACGGGGGCCGGGCTGAGGTTTGAGAGCAGAGTCCTGCCCCGCACTGGCCTCTAATCAGCCACCGCTGCTCTGCGGCCCAAGTCGGGCTCAGGACCTGGAATGCTGAGATCCTGCCCGTTTTCCCCGAGAGGGGAGCTTATCCTTGTGGCACGCAGCCTCGTGCTTCCCTGGAATGGAACGGCGGTGCTCTGAAGCTCACCCAGCTAACTCCTGGCCTGCGGGTGTCACCTGGCCCCAAGCGGCAGGGAGACCCCAAGCCCCCTAGAAGGGGTCAGCCGAGACTCTGAGAACTGTCCCTGCGGCAGTCTGTCGGGGCCCTTCGCTCGGGCCTGGCTGTGAAGGACGCAGAGTGGAGGGAGGGAGATGGCAGGCGGGCGCCTGGGTCCCGTGCTCCTCCTTCCGGAGCTCAGAGTGGTCCCCTCTGCAGGGGTGTGCGGCTCATGCGGAGGTGGCACGGTGGGGAGGAGGGGTGGGTGAAGGGCATGCCGCCCTATCCTGACCCCTGCCCTTGACCTCCAGGTTCCATGTATGATGGCTTGGCCGACAACTACAACTATGGGACCGGCAGCCGGAGCGGCTACTACGCCAAGTTGCAGGCGGGGAATGGCGCATGGGGATATCCGGTAAGGAGCCGCTTCCACTCAAGAAGACCTGGGATGTTCGTGGGGTGCTTTGGGGTGTGTGGTGGGGAGACCCCACCCTGGATGCTGGGAGGAGCGACGCGGTGTGGGAAGGGGCTGCTTCGCTGCGAGGTAAGGCCCACCGACTCCGACCAGGTCCCTCTGCTAGTGTCTCCTGTTTGGCCTGATGGGATATTTCTGAATATCTCAAGTGAGAATTTTTTTTAAAGGCATGAAGAAAAACAGCCTTTTTTTTTTAAAGTCCATTTCCCAATATGCCTAATTTGATCATGGACTTGAGAGAAGTTTGAGTTTTTGAGGTTCACTTATGGATTAACTCGGATGTTTCTAGGAAAATCCTGAAGGGACGTCTCTCTTCAGCATGTGCTGATGACCAAGCAGGAGGGTCTAGAGGTGCCCTGAGGCTAAGAGAGCAGCCCCACTGCCCTCACTCAAATAAGAGGATGCTTGTGGGGAGAAGTTCGCCTGAGTTTGTGGGATGGACAAACCTGGGCTTGAATTCTAGCTCTGCTACTCACTGACCACAGGAACTCGGGCAGGACACTTCTACCTGTTTCCTCACCTCTAGATGGATATACAAAAGTCTACCTCATGGGGTTATTGTCCAGATTAAATGAAATAACATGCATGAAAAAAACCTGATTATAATCATCCTTAAAATTATTTTCTTAATTAACACCCCTGGATAGAGATTATTCTAGATCCTGCAGTCCTGCCCTGTCACCAGTTTTCTGTGATTTCAGTCCACTCTGCACTCCATCCATTATTGAACAAATCTCTATTCAGCCCTCACTGGGCACCCAGCACTGTAAGGTACTCTGGCCCAGCAGAGGAGTTTTCTTCTATTCTGAAATCAAGGGTACTGATCTATGTGACACCCCAGTTTCCTTCTAGTCTCCAAATTCTATGACTTCCATTCCGTTTTGCTAATGTTAACACTAGCCTGTCTTGTTCTTGGAAATTCTTCTGTTGGACCCTTAAGACACTGGGCAGCTGGGAGATAAAGGCTGCTGCCCCTGGGGACCTGGGGCCCTATCTTTGTGGGCCTTCAGATTTCAGCACCGCGTCGCTCCAGACATGACCCTGATTTTTAGGGTCATGGGCAAGGGAGAAGGTGGGGAGTTCATGAGGCAGGTGTTCTTATCCTATCAGCTTGAGTTCTTGTTGGGGCTGATTTTGGAAGATACGTCTTTCTTGCATGCTACCCAGTGGGGACCGAAGGGAAGAATGAACTGAGTTTGCTGCCAATTTATTTTCCTCCCTTGATGTCAACTGAAACCCTCTGTGCAACATACGTACAGTTGACTGAACTGGCAGATCAAGCACAGATGTGAAAAAGGGATTTGACGCAAGGAGTGCCAACCAGACGGAACTGAGAAAATGACTTAGTGATTCAGTGGAAATCAGGTGCGACCCGGGGAGGCAGGTCTCCGGGCTGCCCTGGCAGTCAGAACAAATGACCATACCAATGATGCAGACATCACACGTCTCCATATATATTATGTTATGAAATCTGAGCTTAGAAAGCTTAGGTTCTAGCCCTGGTCCTGCCACTCCCTGGCTCCATGGCTTTAAAGAAACCTCTGAACTTCTCTGGAGGTTGATTTTCTCATCTGTGAAATGGGCAGGGTGATCCCTGTGTACACACGTCACCCACAGGCTGCGATCATGTTGCGGTAACCGTGAAGTGTTAGCAAACGGACGGTGCCAACATGGAAATTTGCAACTAAGATCTGTGAAGGAACTCCTTGGGAGGTCTGCCTAAAAACTAATCTCCACGTGGCCCATGTTGAGCATTTCTTCTGGTTCATTAACTCAGTCGTCAGCAATCTCATCCACTCCTGATGCTCCCATCACTCCCTGTGCCTATTTCCTGACACCCAGTGAAAATTCCTTCCTTTTCTCGAACCCTAAAACCCAACCGTCCTCACGCCTTTGCTGGCAGGACTTCAGACGTGACTCATGTCAGGGTAGCTGCCGAGGCACGTCCCGGCCCCTCTGGGTTCCAGAGAGGGTATGGGAACAGCCAGGAGCTGAGCACACACCAGGGTTTGGCAGAGGGCGGAAGCGACGTAGGGGGGAAGTGGGATAATTGATACTGGAGCCGGGCATATCATCAGCCGAGCCTGGGCCGAACCAAACGGGTCAGGATTCAGGGAGAAGGAGAGCAGGGGAAAAGGCAACAGACCGCTGGTGTGAGATGATCCCATGCCTGTGGGATTTTCCCAGGGAAGGTGCAACTGGCCTGGGACAGCCCATTGCCCCCCTCCCGGTGAAACCAATATGGAGGCCGAGGGCAGGGAGGGAGGGAGGCAGCGGGGTGCGGCTCTCTGCACAGCTACGTCAGCAGGTTTCAGGAGCCTCCGGAAGGTGCTGGACGTTAGCAGGAATGCTGCGCTCACTCAGTCCGCCAGCTTGTATTGAGCAACTGCCGGGGCTCAGCAGGGAGGAAGGCACCCCGCAGACGCTCACGGGGAGGCGGTCTTTGCTCTCCAAGAGCGGGCTGTGGGGTTGGGGTGCACACAGGGGTCAGCAGGCGTCAGCGTGGTGCTGGAGTGTTACACTGGTTCTGCCATTGCTCAAAATGTTTCCAGACCACCCCAAAAAATTTTAAGTACAGTTGACATCATGTCATTACAGGGGCCATATAAGAAAATCAGTCTCATTTCTTCACTATTATGACCTGTGTTTGACCAGAAATGATAATAACCATTCTGAGTGCCTCACTCCTCAAATGTGGCTTCAGTTCCATACAGCAAGTCAACCTCGAGTAACAAAGATTTGTCACCATCAAGTGTATATTTTACTTAGATAGACAAAAGATCTGCAGGAAATTCCAAAAAGAAAGTTCTCAAAGTATTCAAAAAGCAGCAAATGTTACCTTAGGGTTTTACCTTATATTGCATATCAGCAATAGCCTTCTAATTTAAATAGATGCACATATATATCATTATACTGTTTGTAATCTATGATCACTTATATCACAAATTAGGAAAATTGAACATAATGAAATAAAATTTAAAACAAAGTTAGTCTGACATACAAAAAGCACCAAGAGACTTAAGAAAAAGATTGGTCCAAAGAAAGTTGGTGGCCCAGCCAAGGCCCCACTCTCTGCCGCCCACCCCAGCGGCCTGCTCCTTCAGACACAGGACCTGCCTGATGACGTGGGCTCCCCACGGTCCCACAGGCCTCAGGGAGAGGGAGGAGCGGGTTGGGTGGGGAGTAGGGCGCAGCCATTTCTAGCCACCCTGCCCGATCGCTCAGATGAACAGACCCCGCTATCCTGCTCCAGTCCTCAAAGCAGACTTAGGGCACCGCAGGGCCCAGTGAGGTGTGCGTCTTGCAGTGGAGGACACCCAGGCCCGAGAGGATAAACCCCACATCAAGGGTCACCCAGCTGGTCATTGAGACAGCAGACTGGACCCTGGCCTCCTAGCCCTACCCCAACGGAGCTTCGTTACTCCAGACATTTGCACTTTTTTGATGGCCACTTTGGGTTTTTGTCAATCTCAATATTGTAACACTACAACCATATTCCAGGGACTTGCAAGAGACCCAGGAGCTCAGATCCCTCAGGTTCCCCCTCCCTTGTCCCCCCACCAAGCCTATTCTTTGCTTTCCTTGAGGAGTCAGCCTAGCTCAAGACTGGCAGGAGGGCAGCCATTGGTTTTCCTTCCTAGACTCAAGCTGGATTCCCGCAGCTGAAAGCATGAATGGTGGGGCGAGGCAGGGTGCCATGTAAAACACAATGTTTGGGACAAATTTATACTAAAAAGTTATTTGTTTTTCATCTGAGATTCAAATTTTACTGAGAATCCTGTATTTGTATTTGAATCTGGCGACCCGGGTCAGGGAATCTTTCCGACTTGGTCCCTGTGATGAAAACAAGACTCCCTTAAGTGCTCGTCTCGCAGGCCAGGGACGCCCAGAGCTACTTCAGGCTACAGACGCTCTGGTGGAAGTATGGAGGCCGCTGACCCTCCCTAGGGGCCTGGTGATGGATCCTGTGGACGCCTCCCTCCAGGTCAGCAAGAGCAGACGAGGGCTGGAGGCCAGGGAGGCCCGGCCCTTCCACCCCAAAGCTGAGAATGGGCTTCTATCACCTGGGTTTGTCTTCGATGGGACAACTGGACAATTCGGATTCCCATGGAGTGTTTCTGAATTAGGACAACAGCCTCCTTTTTTATCAGCTCCAGCTGTAAAAGGGTTTCCTATTTACAAATCAAAACCATGTCTTGATCATTCGGTTCTTCTGGGGTCATACCAAGTGGGATGTTCACTGGTTATGTGCGGACTAGACCGTCCCGCCCGGGAGCTGGCCCTGGAAGAGAGAGGCCCTGTGGGCAGCATGGGCCGGGAGGTCCGGGCCAGGAACCATGCTCAGGTAGACCCAGCCCAGCCCTCCTGAGGGTGGGAATCCCAGGAGTAGAAGCAGGGAAGGTTCTGCTTGGTCATGATTATTGACCCCATTTCTCTAACCTAGAATTCACCAGCACATCTTTCTCACAACCCCTTCTCAGCTGTACTTGCCTAAGTGCTGTTTCAGTATTTGATGACCCTGTCACAACAGGGTCTCATGGACGGTGTGCTGGGGACGTTCGCCCTAAGAACTGATCCTGCCCAGACCTGCAGCCACCTGGTGGTCCTGTTTTATAGCCGAGAGGGCTGGGGTTGCATGAAGCGTCCCTGGGGGTGGGGGAAGGGAATCCCAAGCAGAGGGTCCTCCAGTTAACCATGTGGGTGAAATACCCCTGCCCTTGGAGCAGAGGAAGCGCTGTCTTACAGTCCACGGTTAACAGTCTCTTCCCAAAAGTGGCCTGGTACAGGCAAATAAGCCCTGGGTTTTGGCCAGGAACATCAGGTCCAAATCCCACTCTGCCCCTTAACTAGCTGTGCGACCCTAGGCAAGTTCTTAACCTGCCTGAGCCTCAGCTTGCCCATCTCTGAAATGGGTGAAAATTCCTATTTCAAAGGGCAGT